TTTTTTTGCACCCTCATATTCCAGATTTTCAAATAGTTGTATCTCGGACAAATATTGTCCGATCCTAACAAACCATACATCAACGGAAAGCTTATTTATTCAGCTTTCATATGATCTATAAATCTCAATTTCGAAAAATTGACCCTTATGACTGGTTTTGTGGTCCAGGGTCACATTTGTATTATTAACATTACTAATATTTTCTGTATTTTAAAGTGTAAATGTAAATATCAAATGAAACAATGTCATATTGAAAAAAAAACTTTAAAATAAGTCTGATTGTCTTTAAGCAGAAGATAATTGTTTTCTTTTGATTTTTTGGGTGAGATGTAATATATTTTTCATGAGATTCATCCAATCGTGTTTATTAGCCATGTTTCATGGAAAAGCCAATTTGCAATTTGAAAGCTTTTACAATTATGTATTATTATGGTGGTTATAATTTTTTTTAAAGAAAGTTAACATTATATCAGATCAGTTATATATCATATCACTTAATCATATAATGACATGATATAATGATATAATAATATAATTTATTATATGTCATATCAGTGAAATATATTTACAGCGTATGAACAGGTGACTCACTCTCGGCAGTGCTGAGTGAATCCGGGCTGACGGGTGCGGGACTGATCTCAGAACAGCCTCCGCTGAGGATCTGCTGAATCAGAGCAGGGCTGATCTGTGTGAACTGATCTCTGCTCAGTGATGAAGAGTTCAGCCGGTGAATCCTCAACAGGTCTCCAGCGCTAAAACAGGCCTGCGAGCGCAACAGAATCCACACTGAGACATGCAAATGCACAAAACATATTTCCGCATGAATATTTCATTTCACACCATAGCGGCGCCGCTGCTCTGATAATCATGCGTGAAACACTCGCATTTACTGTTTGCTGAATTATTAATTCCACGCATGTCAGACGACAGGTCTTATTTAGACGCCGTGTGAGCTTAGAGAAATTGGAAATATTCATCATGACTAAAAATGAGCTGGACGTTCGTCAGCACATGCACTCTTAATTTGGCTGTGATTATGACTGGGGACAGATGAAACGCGTATGTCACAAGATCCATCAAGAGAAAGAAACATTAGCGGCCGCTGACACTTCATGTTACAGGCCTCGTAATAATTTCTCACGCAGCCACATGATTGCTTTCTTCGTCAAGTGCCACGGCTAAATGATTGGATTTCTGTGGCTTGCAAAGATTTCCCATGATGCCCCATAAAACTATAGAATGTACAGGGAAAAATACATGTTTTTATGTTGCTGTAAGGTTTAGCGAAGCACAGAATCAGGAATTAAAATTTGAATAATAGAAAGCGAAATGCAATTCAAAGAAATTCAACACAGGTCATGCATTCAGCGAACCCTTGTCATAAAATCAAAGTTCATTTATAGCTATAACAGTCCCTTTGATGAACAATGGTGTGAGATCAGTTATGTGTCCAGATGTGTTACTTTAAGGTTTGTTCAAATTAATGCATGATTGATTACCACAACTTGTGAGTTGATGTAAAGTTAATCATTTAATAATGCAAAAAGTAATGATACAGTAAAATAAAGATTTACTCAAAATTATATAAATATTTAATTTTATTCATTTATTTTGTTATATTTTATTACAAAATATTTTATTTGTTAACTTGCATTTCATGGGACCACCACCACTAATAATAATAATAATAATACGTTTTTTTCTGTATTTTGAAATGTGCTTAATTATTGCATGATTTATTACCGCAAGATTTCCCAAACTAGGGCTGATGAAAAATTATTGATTTAAACTGCAAAAAGTAATATATAAAATAAAACAACAATTTTGGGAAAAAAAACGATTAAAATAAAAACTTACTAAAAATGATTTAAATATAAATATTTTATTTGTTAATCCTTTTTATGTGACCATTAATAATATATATACTTTTTTTTTTTACTTTGAGATTTACATATATATTTTCTTACCTGTGTTTCATGATGTGACCATTAACTGACATCAGAGAAATGTTAACATGTGAATGTGTTGTTAAATGATTAATTATTCTACGTTAAATTATTAAATCTTTAAATATATTAACTTAAAATTTCAGAGGACTTGAAGAAAATCTTGTAGGTCAAAGCGGTTCAGCTGACAAAAATGTTTGGAAATCCCAGGATTACCGTGTCCCAGCTGTTGTTGGTCCGATGAGCATCCAGATGCCTCTGCCTGTGGGTCTCTGTGCTGTGCTCGTCAGCATCATGGTCATCATGGTCATGTTCCTCTCCACCCAGGTTTAAAACCTTTAGAAGCCCCTCAAAATCTGAGGAGAATAATATTATCAAAAACCAAACATGATCACAACAGTTCCATAGATTATACCATATATTATACTGATGCCGAACTATTGTAGGACTATCATACCATGAAGCGTGAGATTACCAGAGCCGTAATGGCTGAAGATGTAATCCAGGAAGTACTGCTGCTCAGGAAGGTGGTGTGTTTTCATGCAGTCTCCACGCAGAGCGTGATAGAGGACGTTTCCCATCACGGCGTCCAGCTCTGTGTGCGTGTGATCACTGTGCTGATGGCTGCTCTCTTCCAGGATGTCCTTCAGAGTGAGACAGGGCTAAAAACAGACAAACACAAGACAGATGTGGCCATCAGCGTCAAATGTCTATCATTTGTCAGTTTGCATTGCGTCTTGAGAGGCTTGCTGTCATTCTCAATGACAAAAGTCAAGTAGCCATTAGCCTTTGCATGCTTTGCTTTACAGATAACCGTGAGCATTCACTAAACAACATAGACATAACTAACCCTCCTGTTGTGTTCAAAAACTGGGTACAACTTTTGTATTTAGGGTCAAATTTACCCACGTTGGTAGAATTTTTTTTAAGTATTAAACTTTATGTTCTCATGTATTTCATATCTTAGTCTTTGACAAGCTACAAAAAAGGTTTTCTGTTTCTGTTTTTTTAGTGTTTTTCAAAGTGTTGATATAATTGATATCATTACTAAAACAAAACCTTTTCATTACTTGAAATCAAATAAAATAATAAAAAAAATTTTTATTTCAAATTTTCATTTACTTCAAGTTGAAGTAATAAAATCACTAAAACTGAAATAAAATGTAATAATATATAAACTAATAAAAATGACTAAACATTACATATTTTATGTTCAACTCAACTAGATGATGAAACAAATATATATAAAATATATATAAAGTAATAAAATAATGAATGTAAAAAATAATAAAATAAAAAGTAATAATATATAAACTAATAAAAATGACCTAAACACACAGCAAAATGACTAAATATTACATATTTTATGTTCAAAATTATCTGCAAAAGTTACAGATTTTTTTTTGTATACTGTTGAACTCAACTAGAGGATGAAGCAGTGAATTTCCCTTGGATGATTCAGAAAACGAGTTTCAGTTTCGAGTAAACTTTGAGTCTTAAATTACATAAGTTCTCATGTATTTCATATTTTAGTCTTTGACAAGCTACAGCCAAAAAGGCAACATTTCAAATTTTCATTTACTTCACGTTGAAGTAATAAAATACCTAAAACTGAAATAAAAAGTAATAATATAAACTAATAAAAATGACCTAAACACACAACAAAATGACTAAATATTACATATTTTTATGTTCAAAATTAGCTGCAAAAAATTTACAGATTTTTTTTTGTACTGTTGAACTCAACTAGAGGATGAAACAGTGAATTTCCCTTGGATGATTCAGAAAACGAGTCTCAGTTTCGAGTAAACTTTGAGTCTTAAATTACATAAGTTCTCATGTATTTCATATTTTAGTCTTTGACAAGCTACAAAAAAAGGTTTTCAGTTTTTTAGTGTCTTTAGTGTTCTTTCAAAGTGTTGATATCATTAAAGCTAAAGCATTAAAAAATTAGTTACTTTAAAATAAAAAAAGAAAAGAAAATATAAAAGCTACAATAAAGGTTTTCTGTTTTTAGTGTCTTTCAAAAATGTTGATATAATTAACTAAAACTAAAACAATTTTTAAAAATCCGTTACTTGAAATAAAAGAAGAAAAAAAAATCAAAAATCTAAACAAACCAGTCAGTTGCCAATAAAGTCAACATTTCGAATTTTCATTTAGTTTAAGAACTAAAATAGCTAAAACTATATAGATATATTTAAATACATCACATATTTTTATGTTTAAAATTAGCTGCACAGACACAAAACTGACAGATCTTCAGGGTTTCAAAACTGAAACAGTGAATTTTCCTTGGATGATTCAGAAGACGAGTCTCGGTTACGAGTAAACTTTGAGTCTCACATTTCATATTGGTTCTCATGTATTTCACATTTCAGTCTTTGACAAGCTACAATAAAGGTTTTCTGTTTTTTTGTGTCTACAGTGTATTACAATACATATTTTTAAAGGCCGTAAGTTTTCACTTATTTTCCAGAAATCTCCACTTCAGTAGCACTTAAAATGTAAAAAAATACATATATTTTTCAAAGTAAAAAAAAAAGGAATGTTTCATAAGAAACTTTTTAAATCTATATTCTATCTATATTCTGAAGGTTTTACAGAGGGGTTTGTTCATATATCATTCGCCTGATATATATATATATATATATTTAACATTTTATTCCTAAGATTGTGGTAAAAATGTATTTTCCAGCTGTTGATAGTATGATTTATAGATAGATTTATTGAGAATCTGAGATTAAGTCATAATTTTTTATCTATTTTACAATAATATTCCATTTAACCTTTTTGTGAAAATTTGGTGCTACTAACAAACCTCAAAACGTTATACTTACATAAATTTATAATACAAAAGTTAATAGTTACCCAACTGAAAACTGAAAAATACTTTTTATGGATTAACATGAATCTCTAATCTACATAAAAAGAATCAATCTTCAAAGTAATACAAGGTTCAATGTACAAAAAGAGCCATGCTAAACTTGACCACAGGTCCTGCCAAAATCTCCTCTACCACAGTAAAACTGTAATAAAAATTAAAGCTTTTTATAATGTATCTTACTATTGTGGAGGCCCACATTCATTTATTAGGATTTTATAGTTTCACCTATACAAAAAAACAAGTGATGATCACTGATTAAATAAATAAATAATAAAAAAAATATCTCAGTGATGTTTTCAGCAAAAACTTAGGAGATTTCAGTCAGATTTTTTTTTTCATAAAACCATGGGTTCATTGTTTGTCATTTCTAATTATGGTAATATATTTCATAACGCAGGACTACGCTATAGTGCAGACAGGGCTAGATGTGTCACAGCCATAGTGACTTATACACTCTAAAAAATGCTGGGTTAAAAAGGGACAAACCCAGCTATTGGGTTGTTTTGACCCAGCGTTTGGGTTCAAAACAACCCAACCGCTGGGTCAAAACATCCCAATAGCTGGGTTTGTCCCTTTTTAACCCAGCGCTGGGTTATATTTAACCCAGCATTTTTTAGAGTGTAAGGTTAAAGTCAAAGTCCAATCACATAAACACCTTTTTCTAGTGCTTTTTGGTGATCAAGATTGTTATGTTGGTTTTGTGGAGTAGTTTTATAAATACAATAAAACCAAAACGTAAGACATTAAGACAAGGCTCTACACAAATAACTGATTTGATCTGAAAGGTTAAACTTGGGTCAAGAGAAGAAAAACTTTCCATAAATGTCAAGCTGAAGAAAGTTGTCATGTTTTATTAAAGCATTTTTGTTCTTCTTGTTTTATGAATAGTTTTGCATTTCATAATTGTTTATCATTTTAAGATATTAAATGACCCAGCTAATAATGAACGTTGTCAGAACGTTCTGGTAAGGTTCTCTCATAGCTTTGAACAAACATTCTTCCAGTAACGTTAATAGAACGTTCGTTCAACGTTACAGGTCTTTAAAAATGTTCTAAAAACTTGTACTTTTTCCTGAAGCATTTTAACTTGACCTTTATCTAACGTTTTTAAATGTTACTACTTGTTTTAGAACATTCTGAGAACATTCACAAGTAACTTTCCATAATGTTTGTAATATGATGAAATAAAATGTTCTAAAAACATTTAAAAATATATTTTTTTCTTCCCGAAATGTTTTTTTTTTCACGTTCATCTGATGTTTTTTAAATGTTAATACTTATTTTAGAACATTCAGAGAACATTCAAAAGTAACTTTCCATGTTTGTATAAAATGAAAT